GGAAGGGGAGGCTGTTGGAACGTGTGTTCTGACGAACGAACAATTAACAAGCTATTTTTAAACATTTTTCGAAAAATTTAGTATTATTGAATAATTGACATGATTATAACATAATATCAATAATATCAAGGTAAATAGTTCCGCACCATCGCTAAATTTATTCTGTGTATATAAATATTAAAAACGTCAAAAAGTATTCGTGCAATAAAGAGTTAGTTAATTACAATTTTAAAAAGTTAATTTTTATTTTATTTAAATGGATTTTCATATCAGCTTTTAAAATGTCCAAGGAATATAAACACAAAGTGGTTTTTAGTATAGAAAAATGTCGAAAACAAAAAAAGAAAGAAAAGAAAATTTTGTCAGAAAAACTACAAAATTAAATACTTATTTTAAAATAAAGGTAAGTGTAAATCTTAGGCGGGAATAATGTTTAAGATTTGGAAGAAGACTAAAGCTCTTTTGAAGTTTTTATATTATAATAAACCACCAACAAAAATGTTGCTTACTAGGTTCGAAACCATACCACCATACAGTGATAACTTCTAAATAAACTGGTATAAATAGGTATTGGTACCTATCTAGTATTATTATTTTTTGTATAATAATGATAACAATTATACAAGGGACTTAAAATATTTACTAGAACAGAGGTCTTATTCAGATTTGATATCTTTTTCGACAAAATTAAATAATTTTAACATAGTACACAACTGAAAATATTTGAAATCCGCCTTTAAACGAATATTAAAAATAATATGTTGAGCCAATCTTTATGAAACGTGGAATATAGTCAATATAGATAAAGAACAAATGAACAATGTGGTTAATTCATTCAAGTCATTTATATAGTCATTGATAATAAAATGTAAAACATTAAGTAATTTATCTTGATTAAAATGAATGTGTGTTTATTAATATTTAATTTTAATTAATTTAACCTAATCAAGTTTAGTATACAACTGTAACAGATATTCCTACTTTACAAGTTGATGGAAAAAAATAAGAGATTCATAATTACGGTCATTATTAAAGTACATTATAGCATTATCAATATTATGTATTTATTATTTATTGAAGAAAAAATTGTCTAGAATATCAGATTGGCAAGTCTTGTTAAAAAATTCTCAAAACTTAAAGCTAAAAAAAACATTTGAATAAAGTTGTTAGTCATTTTCTCTATTATTGTAAAATATGTTTTTTTTGTTTTTCATGTTTTCATACATTTATGTAACTACTTCCTAATCTAATTTATTGTTTATTAGTTTTTAATGATTGAGTTGTTACACTTCTTATTTAAAAATTATCGTATAAATAAATCAATGTAAAGTGACCCAATAATAACATTTCAAATAATTTTGATTTTTGGGGTAGGTGCTAGAGCCCTTCAACCCTCTCACTAATTTTTGCCTATGATTTTAGGGCGTTAAATATTATTATTGTCCTAGGATACCACTGATGGTTAGCACTAGATAATTACATTATTTAAGTTTTTAACTAGTTGACATTTATAATTTGATGATAATTAATCAACATACGTATCTTAAGCCAAATAAAGTGAAATATATTCAATATAAATATTATTTTTTTTTACATCCAAATTTCTACTAAAGTATTTAAATTATTTTTATGTCAAAAATAGGCAAATAAATAAGATTTGTATAACAGGTTTTACAATTTATTTCCACGGCAAAAATTATTCACTATGCAGGCTCAACGGTACTCAATAATATTAAATATTTGTAGATAAATAAAACAAATTTATTTCGTAATAATCACATATTTTTATTTTATTTTTTCAACAAAAATTTACCATTCATGAATTATCATATTTGCAAGCATATTAAAAGAGAGATAAGAAAATACTTAAGTATGAGGTAAAAATATTTCTAAAATTGAACTGTGATATTTTTTAGTAGAATATGTATATTGTATACGTATAGTTATGATTTTAAGTGTATTGAGTTTTGATGCTGAATCATATATTTATTATATATTTTTTAATTTAAAACTATTCGTATGAAAATATTAGATAAAAATTGATTAAGACGAGCGAGATGTTTTTCAAATTGCTTACAAAACTAATTCAGCATAATTTTTCATTAATACAGAACCTAACCAATTTAATGTAAAAGTGAACCTCAGAAGAATCAATTAAAATTTAAAATTAAGACGAATCTGTAATCAATGAATGATTAAGTACGATTTTATTTTTAAATGTTAATGATTGATGATTGTATTAGCTTTAGCCCTAATTAAAATAATTTTACCAAATTATATCAATAGTTTTATAAAAGATTAATAAATCTAACTGTTAATCTATTGAAATCAGTATTATAATTCAAAAAGAAATAGTGGACGCTAAAAATAAACTAATTTGAATGATTTTTAACTTATTATTAGTATTTAACAGTATAGGACAATGCGGAATCATTAAGAAGTCGACAATACAAAAACGTAAATGATAATATGATACAAAAAAATCACTGCATATTGAACGAACGTTTTGTACTTTTGTTTGAAGTTAACGAGGTCAAAACCAGATAATTTTTTTAGACATACTATCGTCTCGAATATTCGACGCGCGCCAATCATATATATTATTTAGTATAAATAATATTATACCGAATAACCTTAGAAATCGACTCGCGGAAATGCTAAGACTGCGTACAACCGGATGTATGTTGTCGTAATATACACTCGGGTCCCGGAACCTTAGGCGCATGAGCTGCTGTGGGCGTTATGTTTGATTCGTATGTGTATTTAACGTAATATCGTAATAATTATGATCAAAACGGTGTGGTGGTGGAAGCCTGCTGAAAACATAGGAAATAACGCGTGTCGTCCGTGCCGCCGCCGACGACGACGACTAGAAGGTCGAACAGTTAAGTTGAGTCGTCGTTCGACCGACGGACGGACACCGCGACTTGGTTTGATTTTTGTCGGGTAAAAAAAAGATAGCACGGCCAAAACGTCGTCGTGTCGACAATGACCGAGAAGACGAACTGAAATACGAAAAATAAAATAATTGTAAATAGCAAATACGTTTCATAGTAATAACCCGACCGTCCTAATAATAATAATAATAATATAATGTGTGGTGGGTGGTTGGAGGGGCAAGGTGTTTCGTGTTGTCTCGAGAATCCGTACCGGTGCGCGCGCGCGGTCCTCGGCGAACAGAGGAGTTCGTTCGCTAGACCAAAGCCACACGTTCGACGGGGGAAACTAAACTGGTCTGGCCACTACAACAATACCGCTTTTTATATATAATAATAATTATTATTATTATTATTATTATTATTATTATTATTACGTCCGACTGGAGCGAGTTCTCCTCGCGTCTACCGCAGCCACCACCACCGTAACCGCTGCCGTCGCCGCTTGTGCGCGCACAGTGTATTGCCCTCGTACTCGCGCCAACCGGCTGCTAACGACGAAGTCTTCGTGTTTTGCTCTTGGTGTCGCGTGTGCGCGTCTCGAGTACGCGGTCGTGCTTTCCCGTTCCGTTCTCGCGTAGTCGTCATTGTAATATTATTATTGTCGTTGTATATTTACCTTTAATTTAACTCTTTATATAACGTGTGTGAACGCCCCCCCCCCTCGACTCTTCCTTTATGTACACATCAGCGTTTCGCGATACCCATCTGGTTTTTTGCTGTGTGATCTGAATCCACCGTGCGCCGCTCACGTAGTCGCCAACCGTTTTTAGAATTTTCCATACCCGGAAAAATGTTCTGTTCAATCTAATCGTTGTTATTCTTTTCGACATTCCTGTTATATTATTGTCGTCGCGGTCGGATCGGTGGACTTCGTGTCACTTTAATTCCTATGTGCGGGATAACGACTAAACTGTTATTTAATATTTGTCATACAAATATAATTGTTACGTTTTGTCCCTTAAGTAAATAATAGAAAATTATTTAATATCATATGTTTGACCGAAAATCGTGTTAAATAAAAAAAAATAAAAACTTTCCTTACTCAAACGTACCTGTTAATAATTTTCGATGAAATGTTTTTACGGATAATCAAATCATTCTTCGAACTATGTTCATTAAATATTAAATATAGTAACTTTCTAGTATGAGAAAATGAATAAATACAGATATATCTTACTAAAAAAAAACTAAGTGGCCCAATAGAAAAGCGATTTATTTGTATTTAATCGCTATCCACAGTGCGGGAAAAGCGTAAAAATCTAAATTTCACATCGCGTAAGGTCGAACGTCACAATCACCGTGACAATGAGCCAGTGAAAAGTAAAAGCGTTTCAAATCATATTTTCCTATACCGCTGTGCCGTGTCTTTCAAAATTATAAACAAATTGTATAGTAAACGGTTAAGAGTGTTTTTCTTTCAAACAATCATTTAGATATATAGTATACAATATTTCTTGTGTCAAAATGGTTCTAGTTGAACAAGTATGTAATCATTTTTCTATTACATTTATAAAAATGTCATTCGTTTTTGTAATATTCATACACAGTACACACATTATTTTAATTAATTATTAGATGTACTGTGCATAATTCTATTTACAATTAACTTAATTATTATTTTTTCATGGATTTATTCTTGATAATGCATATTATATTATACAGGTTTTCTGCAAGGATTTACTAATTTTAAGTGGTAAGATAATGTAGATTGAATTACCATACAAATAAATTAATAGGTCTTTATGAATACAATGTTAATATGTAAAGATATAGTATGAAAGTTATATCTAGGTATATAATATGATTTCTAAATTCTCAAAATAAAAAATGTATAGCTGTTAACCATAATAATATCGAGTAACATCTGTTAGTTTACAATGAATAATCAAATATTTATTTGACTCAAGAAACTTACTTTAATAAACATTCTTTCCTAAAATCAACTAGTTAATCCATTTAACTCCTTTTATAAACATGTATTTAATTCCATGTAGATACTATATTTATGTATTAGAATATCAAAAAACATAAAAAGCTTTCATGGTGTTATCATTTTTTTAGTATCCACCAATGACGATCTTATACGATCCAACAATTAGAAAAGATTCCACAACCAATGGTGTTACATCACCGCAATTTGCCACCGAACAAGAGCTGTGTCTTATGTACTTTGATAAATGGAGCGAACAGCATCAAATCGACTTTGTCGAACACCTATTGGCACGCATGTGTCACTACCAACATGGACACATCGACACATATCTAAAACCTATGCTACAAAGAGACTTCATATCACTCTTACCCAGTAAGTATTTAATTTAACTGTATAAGATGTTTTTATACAAACATTTTTATTTATGTTATAGAAAAAGGCCTAGACCATGTAGCTGAAAATATTTTATCTTACCTTGATGCCGAATCTTTGTATGCTGCAGAGTTGGTATGTAAAGAATGGTATAGGGTAATTTCAGAAGGTATGCTTTGGAAAAAGTTAATTGAACGAAAAGTACGCACAGATTCATTATGGCGGGGACTTGCTGAACGAAGAGGGTGGTAAGTTATATTATGCAGTATATTAGATAAATATTCATGCTATTTTTTATACATTTCAGGATTCAGTACTTGTTCAAACCAAAGCCAGGTGAACACCACCCAGATCACTTCTCCTACAGGGCTCTGTTTCCTAAAATTATACAAGACATAGAAGTATGTGATATTTATTTTAATAATTATGCTATATTGAGATAATGTAACTAATAAACTGTCTTATTAAAATTAAATATTGAAATAAAATTACAATTTATATATATTATAATTTAACTTCAAAATATATGGCAGGATTGTAATTAGTATGAATTATTTTAAAATTAAAATTAAATTTTGCATAAATACCTGAAATATATTTAAATTAGAATTGCTATTATATGTATTTTTTATTTATTTTTTCAAAATCTTATATAATAACAATCCATAAAATATCTATGATATTTTATTGAGATAAATCAAATGTCAGATAACTTATTGATGTTATTTTAAAAAAATTCTCATTTTTGAGAGCTTTCTAAATATTTTAGTAGTGCAATCGCCATTATCTGACATATTTTCTTTTTTAGTCATTTTTCTATAAATACTTCATACATATAATGATAATAATAAAATAAAACAATTAGAACATTTAATATAATATACTTACTTAGTTTAAATTAGTTCATAATAATCTATCTAAAATATATTGTTATCTCTAAATTTAAAACCAATATATTTATTATAACTAAAGTAATATTTTTATTTTTTTAGAGTATAGAATCAAATTGGCGAACTGGCCATTTTCTATTACAAAGGATAAATTGCCGTTCAGAAAACTCCAAAGGTGTATACTGTTTACAGTATGATGACAATAAAATTGTGTCAGGTTTACGTGATAATACCATAAAAATATGGGATAGAAATACATTACAATGTGTTAAGGTAGTAATTACAAATTTTATCCTTTTTTTAAAATATTGAAATATGTAATAAACCTAATTTTTTTAGGTATTAACTGGCCATACCGGGTCAGTTTTATGTTTGCAATATGACGACAAAGTGATTGTAAGCGGTTCCAGCGATAGTACAGTTCGTGTATGGAACGTTGCTACAGGTGAAATGGTCAATACTCTAATACACCACTGTGAAGCAGTTTTACATTTAAGGTTTAGCAACAATATGATGGTCACTTGTTCAAAAGTAATTTTTAGATTATTATTATTATTATTATATAACTAAGTCTCAAATATGCTTTATTATTTTTTATTAAAGGATCGATCAATAGCTGTTTGGGATATGGTTTCAACTAGTGAAATGACTTTACGTCGTGTCTTGGTTGGTCATCGAGCTGCAGTAAACGTTGTTGATTTTGACGATAAATACATTGTATCAGCTTCTGGTGATCGTACCATTAAAGTATGGAATACATCAAGTTGTGAGTTTGTGCGTACCCTTAATGGTCACAAACGTGGTATTGCCTGTCTTCAATATAGAGATCGATTAGTAGTTAGTGGAAGTTCTGATAATACCATCAGGTACTAATTAAAACAATTATATATTAATTTATCTGATTCACTCATTATTTAGATATAGTTTTTACAATTTCATTTTTTTATTTATACAAGGTTATGGGATATTGAATATGGTGCTTGTTTGAGAGTACTTGAAGGTCACGAAGAACTGGTACGATGCATTAGATTTGATAGTAAAAGAATTGTCAGTGGCGCATACGATGGGTAAGAACTTAATATAAATAATATTTATATAATATCTAATAGGTCATACATATTTTAATATTTTTATTAAAATTTCTTCAGTTTATAATATCTTTATAAAATGTATTTCTGATTTATTTTTATGACAGTATTTAATTTTTAACTATGGCACTGTTGTGTACTTTGTACGCTTAACTTTCCATTCCTTGTTCTACTTTGGTTCATAATTATTTTAAGTTATTCTCTTCGTCTAACCTTTGCTTAATCATTCATATAATAGATATAAATTCATTTCAGTTGTCATTCGATGTTTGTAGCAGCATAAACAAACTGTATAAAATTATTTTTATTTGTTTTATGTAACTAAATATAAAGGACATTATATGTATAATACTACATTTATTTCTGTGTAGACAAAATTGGTGTATAAAATATGTCATGTGAAATAATTATTAAAAAAACATATTGTACATGTATTAAGTGTTAAAATAATTTTTTTTTTTTTTTAGGAAAATCAAAGTATGGAATTTAGTAGCAGCTTTAGATCCCAGAGCTCCAGCATCTACTTTATGTCTACGTACACTAATGGTAAGCGTTTTGCACTACGTTCACTTTTATGATTTGTTGTTTTTTCGTGATTGAGAGAGGAGGAATTTTTGTCCGGCAGGAGCATTCGGGACGAGTGTTTCGACTCCAGTTTGATGAGTTCCAAATAGTCAGCTCTTCACATGATGATACTATTCTTATTTGGGACTTCCTCAACTATAATGATACAAATAATTCAGCAGCAGGTACATCAAATAACGTCTTGCATGATGGTTCTAATGCACATGCAAATGACACCCTTCCTCTTTTACCTCCTGGTACGTCAAGTAATCTTAATAATTTTTAAGTGTCACTAAAATTATAATACATGTATATTATATTTTTTTAGGTTTTGAGTAACCTATTGGGCTAGTCATATGTAACTGACTGGATCAGGTTCATGTATAATATACAGAACTCGTCTTAAATCACTAAAGATGGTAAAACAATATTCTATCACATCTTGTTCTCATTTTATTTATTTATATATATGTACATGTATATAATAGTATATATTTATGTATGTATAACATAATTAATAACTACAAAAACGCCCAAAATAACTGTGCCAATGTTCAGATGTTCTCTATTACCCTTATATGTAGGTACACTTGATGTTTCTCATTTTAAATACACTATACTTATATATACATGTATATATTTGTATATGTGTATATAAGTATGTATATATATATATGTATCTATATAATAAAAAAAATTCTAGAAGGGCTTAAATGCTTTCATTAAATTAATAACTGAATGTCTGTGATTTTTCAATATGAATTTTCTAAAAGAAATTAACCAGACAAGTGCAATGACACTTCTATACTTTCCTTTTTTAAAACTTTTTTCTCAATCATAAGTTTACATCATGTTTGCTTTAAATAACAAAACATGTTTGTAGATAAATGGATTTTTATTTAATAAAAAACAAAAACAAAAAACGGCATCAACACTAATATTTGTATAGTCCCTATTTGAATAAGTTTTAAAAAAAATTTCTTTGTATAAAAGTGATTTTGTATAATTTATATAATTATTATTATAAAATACAAATTATATTAGAAAACAAAATAATAAACTTGTGTAAATAAATTTTATTGAACTATAAAACTTCCATCTCCCATTAATACCAGTTTGTTTAAAATACATTGATTCAATATAGTTGAACCATTTATACTTCAAATGTGTCATTTCGACTTGCAGACACTGGAAAACCACTGTTTTGATTCATAACAACGAGAACTAATACAATGTGCACACCTTAAAAGAAATTTTGGACTAACAGGTTTGTTTTCTCGAAGATGTTGTGACACTATATCAGCAATAGCATCAATAAACAAAGAATGGTCATTAGGTGCAGCAGCTCTACGAATATTTTTGACTCCTAGCTAAAAAATCAAAATATTCATCAATTATAAAACATAATACATAAAATATTCTATTTTAAATACAGTTTTTACTGTTTTCTATAATTTAATTGTCTTACTTCTTCCCCGAGTTCTTTACAATATTCTATATCAAGTTCATGTAATGTCTCAATATGTTCATTAACAAATGCAATAGGTACTAAAATAAAATTCTTTTTGCCTTGCTTCACATAACCTTTAAATAAAAATCAAATATATATTTGAAATAAGCAAATTTAGCTATAGATTGCAATATTAATTTAAAACCTTTTAATGCGTCATCGGTAAATGGTCCCAACCAAGGCAATGGACCAACTTTAGACTGCCAAACTAATGCATAAGGATAAGCATAACCTAGTTCTTCCATCACTGCATGCACTGTTGAACTCACCTCTGAAGGATAAGCATCTCCTCGGTTAACAGCCTTAATAAAATAAAAACATAATTTCTTATTACAAGAATCTTTAAAACCAAAGAGAACTTGGTAATTCTATAATTATAATCTAATTATTTAAATATTGTGCTATCTTTAAAAAAATATTATTCTATCAACCATCTGTTTAAAAATATTAAAAAACTAATAAGGATATTATAGCTTGTTATTATATTACTCTCACATGTCAGTAACAATCATACATTTAACATTAAGTATTTGATGGGTCACTGAAAATATTTTTTTTGCAAATAATATTATAAATTAAGCCATTTTTATTTACTTGTGGATTAAGAAATTTTAAATAATTATTTAGAATATAAAAAAACAACCCGTTTACTTGGGAATATTTATTTCAGATAGAAAGAGGGCAAGTGAGTATAAGTTGTATTCACAATTTGGAAAAAATATAAACAATTCTTTTGATCAGAGATCAGAAATTAAATTCTGTGATCCAGATTATTGGAAAAAAAAATTTAAGTTCAAAACAAAAACTTAAATATTAGTTAATAATATCATAGAATATTTTATGATAATATAGTGACTTTTGTCAATAGCAATAAAAATCTTATTTGTGTAAAACCAGCACTAAAAAAAAGTATATTTGGCAGTCCAGTTATTTCATCTTCACTAGTCAGGTCAGATTTGGCCTGCAGGCTGTCTATTGCCGATCTCTATTCTAGATTATAAATATTTACATAAAAAACCAATTTTGCTATACTATCTTGACAAAAGACTAAAATAACTTAAAATATATTACTTTTAAAGGCAAAGAATGAGCAGAAAATAAGATGACAACATCATCTCTATCACTTTCTGGAAATTTCTTTATTTCATCTGAAATTCTTGAACCAATTGTTTTGATTAACAATGGATGTGTAGCCCATCTATCAATTATGCTCATCTTTAAATTTTCTGGAAATTTTCTAAAAACAGATGACATATTTAATAAAATATAATCATTAAAATTTGTGTAGTTTACTTATTTTGAAAATATGAATAAATGGCATTAAAACTTGAACCACTGGTAGCACAACTGTATTGAGGATATTGTGAAAACAGTACAACTCTTTCAGCACCATCTCTAAAAATGTAAACAAATTTACAAAATTTTCCGTAAAATTAATATTTAATACATACTTTTGTATTTGTTCAAAAGTATTTTCAGTTAATGGATCAACATATCTAAATGCAACATAATGTTTATGCGGAGCAGTATTAGGAGATATTTTGTCTAATTTTTCACACATTAATTTCCCCTAAAACAGGTACAGAACAATTATTCCTTGTTCTATTATAAGTAGCTTAATAATCTTACTTGAATATTGGTCCATTTTAAAATTGGTGATCCGCCACCAATTTCAGCATATTTTTTCTGTACTTCTGAAGTCCTTTTTTTCGCGATATATGGTCCCAAAGTGCTAAAAAAATACAATATACTCATACATTTTGACTTCCACTGAAGCAATTATTCTGGCATTCACTTTTGAAAAGGTAACTGCATCATGTCTCGATCGGTCATTATACGATGCAAATAACCGTGCACTTGGTCTACATGTTGTGGCCCACCCATATTTAACATGACAACGGCGGTTTTTACTTGAGAGGACATAAATCGACTAGTAAAATCTGGAACAAATTAAATTGAATATTGGTTAACCAATAAGCTTAAAGTGTAATGAAAAACAACCTGAGGTGGGTTTACTAAGATATTTCAGAGACGAAAACATTTTTATTTTTTTTATCTAAGGATTAAAATATTTAATAAAATAAAACTACAAGCTATTTGAAAGTTATCTATTGAGTATAAAAATGAAAGTTTGTATTACAAATTACAACTATGTAATTACTACTTATTCAACAATATGCAATAATCAGTTTTGGAAATTTTAAACAGTTTTGATAACAATTAGAAATGTTATCATGTAGAACACTGAACGTGATGTGTTAATAATATTATTTAATAATATATGTTGATAATGTATTATCATAACCATTTTGATACTGCTGTTTTTCATGTATAGAATAATTAGAATAGAAATAGAACGCATCACGAGAAAACCTGATATTGTATTCTGTATTTGTATATATTTATTGATTTTTTTACATCAACTATAAAGCAACAAACTTGAAGGTACAAGCCTACAGCAGACGTTAGACAGTACCAGTTGAGCCTTGAGCATCAAAGTTTAATATCTAATATCTCTACGACTATATTTAATATTTATATGTTTATATAGTAATTAGTATCCACAGTAGATTAATATCATGAATTTCGAATTAAAGCACACATTTTAATTTGAGGATCTCAGGATAGTGCTTAATAGTAGTTAATACAGCTTAAAATCATATACACTGTATGTATAAGTTTGATCTAAGGACAGTGAATAAGTGACAAGATAGGTTTTTTCACGAAATTATAGGCTTGTTATATTATTAAAGACCATAAACCAAATTTATTTGCTTTTAATGATTAGGCTTCCATTTAGATGTAGCCGATGTAGGTATTGAATATGTTGGACAGTGGAAAATAAAACATTAAAGAGAAGTGAGCAAAGATTAAAATACTTATAAAAATAGATGTTTGATGTGACTATGCAAATAAAAATAAAAAAATTAATTCATTGGGGTAGTATAGACTGTAAGGATAGCACTAATTATAGATAAATGAGAGAGAATAAATTACTTGAAAAAAGTATAAATTTGTAAGTTAAGGATGAAATAAAAAAAGAAATCTTTTTAGATATATTATCCTATTAAGTATCAAGAACATACATTTATAAAATAATAAATGCTTGTGATCGTATACATGACGTGCTTGATGATTGTTCAATTTGTAATTATTTATCATTTTTAAATTAACATAAACCGTGTAATTTGTACATACATTTTGTTACATAATTTAATAAATACAAAATTATAAAATATTATCTTAGCTTTATTGAGAAAAAGTTAGTACTTATATAAAAAATCAAAATTTAACTTAAATTAATTTCATAGTTGAACAATTTACTTTTAAAAACATTTGTAAAATTATTTAAAAATAGATTATATAAATTAAATTAAAAAATAAATAAAAACAAAGAAGGTCTACATTAAAAATGCAATTGTCTAATAAAATTTTAAATCAATAAACATTTATCACATTTTTTTTTTTTTAAAATAAAGTTTTTATTTATAACATGTTAAACAAATTTTATTCACTTCATCGCCAAACCTAGGTAAAAATAATAAATTATTAAGTTTAGACTATATGAAAAAATTAAAAAAATTAAAATACTTACAAAGAAAATGAACACATATTGCAAAATATCTCTCTACATACCCCACAAAAATCTAATTTTTCTGTTTGTGAACAAAAATTACATTTTTCTTGATTGTAATTATACCTATTCGAATTCTAAAAATAATAATATGAAATAATTAAAAACTACTAATTTTAATACAAATATTTTTTTATGTAAGTACTTCAATTAAAACATTAGGCTTGCATAATTTTCCATCAAATGTTAACTGCATTTGTTTGGATGGTTTATCGTCACGTGGAATTTTATCAACAACTACGTGTTCTATTGCTTCAAAAGATGCTTTTGCTCTTTGAAACAAAATCTGCTTAGTCTTTTCTATAATAATAAAATAAATCAGTTGATAATAGTTAAAAGTGTGTTTTCCTTTTAATATCATGTAACAATTTAACAAGTAATACAGAAATAAACCATTTTTATTTAAAATGTGTTCTTACCATAAATTTCAGACATTTTGGATGGTCCCAAAACTCCATTGGCAACTTGTTTCTCTCCTATGTGTATTTTTAACTGAGGACACATATCAATATCATATGGATACCTTCTCTTATTCATGTCGTTGTTAAAAATGTATTCGTTGCTATGTAGTTCTGTTTTATTATATCGTTAACGAAAATAATTAAAGATCCAGATACAGAAAAAAAATCAAAAACAAATAATCCCGTTTGTATTTGGTAACAAAAAAAATCTGTGTACACACAACACACTGTCACTCTTAACAGTATTAATAATAATATGTATGCTGCTATATAATAAATAAATCTATTTAGCCGTGATATAAGAGGCTAATGTAAATAGGTGGAATTTTTTCTCTAAATCATTAATCAAATCTCGGTAGAATTATATAATAATTAATAAGTAATAGGTAAGTATTAACGTTCTAAAGCCGACAGATTATAGAAAACGAACATAAACACAACAGAGAACGGCACATGCAACACTACAATTTTGTACTGTAAATTGTAATTTTTTATGTTTGTAATCTAAATTTGTAATTATCAGTTCACAACAAATCAAGTTCGTTACTCTTCAGTATTTTTAACACAGTTATTTATTGTGATGATAATGAAGTTGGCGATGAGATAATAAAAATCAAGGAGTTTTGAAACTTATGAGCTCTTTGCATTTCGGAAAACATGACTTGTATTTTATTGTTATGGACGGATATTTAGATATTCGCTTGTCATTATTTTAACAGAAACAGTGAAGTGCTTTATGCTTTTGTATCAAAGTTTAGTGAAATTCATTTGGAATCATTCATTTTTAATTAATAAAAGTCTATAGCAAAATGAATATAACGTCGGCAGCAGGCGTAATATCGTTGCTGGACGAGCCGGCGTCCGAATTAAAGATCTTCGCACTTCGGAAACTAGATGCTATTGTCGACGAATTTTGGCCCGAAATATCAGAGGCAATCCAAAAAATTGAGTTCCTCCATGAAGATAAGACTTTTGCCCAACAAAGTTTGGCTGCTCTAGTTGCTAGCAAGGTATATTATCATCTCGGTTCTTTCGCGGATTCCTTACAATATGCGTTGGGTGCCAGCGACTTGTTTGACGTGAACGCGCGCAACGAATACGTGGAAACTATCATTGCAAAATGTATCGACCACTACACAAAACTGAGCGTCGAGGCTGCAGAAAATCCAACCTCCCCACCTGTAATGGATGTACGTTTGGAAGCAATTGTCAATCGCATGTTTCAAAGATGTCTAGACGACAAGCAATACAAACAAGCATTAGGTTTGGCTTTAGAAACAAGACGCATGGATATATTTGCCAAATCCATAGAATCATCAGACAATGTTAATGAAATGTTATCTTATGCTTTCCAAGTGGCTATGAGTACTATTGAAAATCGGAGTTTCCGCAGTACTGTATTACGTTGTCTCATTGGATTGTACCGAAACCTTGAAATACCAGACTATGTAAACATGAGCCAATGTTTCATCTTTTTGGATGATCCCAAATCTGTAGCTCAACTTCTTGAAGGTCTGATACAAAATAATGATGAGAAAAACTGCTTAATGGCATATCAAATAGCATTTGATTTATATGAATCAGCTACCCAACAATTTCTATCCAGTGTTCTTGAGTCCTTACGCCAAACAGCACCCATCCCTTCGGCAACGCATGTAATTAAAGCAATTCCTGCAGCTCAGAGTAGCACAGAAAAAGAAACTGTTACCCCACCCATAGCTGTTGCTTCAACTGATGCTAGCACAGCTCAACCTGTTGTCGAAGAACGTTCTTTTGATTCTCTTGGACCTGATGATAAGTATCGACAAGAAGTAATCCAAAAGTTAACTAAAGTATTAAGCGGAGAAGTTAGTATTGAACTACATCTACAGTTCTTAATTAGGAGTAATCATACAGATATGTTGATTTTAAAAAATACTAAAGAAGCAATTCGTGCAAGTGTCTGTCATACAGCTACAGTAATTGCCAATGGATTCATGCATAGCGGTACTACTAGTGATCAGTTTTTAAGGTAAATTAATTTATACTATATTTTCTAATCTTATCAATTCAATCATTTGGCAAGTTATTTTTATTGATTAGTTATTGAGCGAAATTCAAAGATAAACCAAGTTAATTATTATGTTAATAACAAGTTTTGACTTCCTTTGTAAAACCCCAACATAAAACACATTTCTTCAAATCTATCCCTGACAACCCATCAAGAAGACTTAAAAAAAAAGATGTAGAGACCTCTAATTTTCCTAAATTCTTCTACCCTGTTTATCAAAACAGATAGCTCCACTAGGTGATGCCCCTTATATCATGTTTTTCATACTATTGTTTGTCTTTCTTATTTTTATCAATATTATTACTCTTACTTGTAATGCATATTTGTACAGTTGTATATTTCTTTTCAAAAATAAAAAATATAAAAACCTGAGAACACTTGTTTGCAAATCAACAAAATTGTTTTTAATGAAATAGTTCTTAAAAATTATAGATATTTGGTTTTGCAGGTAAAATTCATTTAATACATTGCTTTTTTTTTTAATTCTTATACTGTTATTAATTGTTATTTTAAATAATTCATTGTTTTAGAGATAATCTGGAATGGTTAGCCAGGGCAACAAATTGGGCTAAGTTATCAGCTACTGCTTCTCTTGGAGTTATTCATAGAGGTCATGAAACAGATGCACTTGAACTTATGCGCAGTTATTTACCCCCTAGAGAAAATAATTCATCAGGAAGTTCTGGGTATAGTGAAGGTGGTGGTCTCTATGCCTTAGGTTTAATTCATGCTAACCATGGTGCTGCTATTAATGACTATCTTCTTGGACAACTTAAAGATGCACATAATGAAGTAAATAATGAATATTATCAAATATATTAAAAATAAAACATAATCAAAATATTTCTAATTTTAGATTGTGAAACATGGAGGATGCTTAGGAATTGGTCTTTCAGCAATGGGTACTAGTCGTGAAGATATTTATGAACAGTTGAAATTCAATATGTACCAAGATGATGCTGTAACTGGTGAAGCTGCTGGATTAGCTATGGGTTTGGTTATGTTGGGATCAAAAAATGGTGAAGCTCTTCAAGACATGGTAGCGTATGCTCAAGTAACACAGCATGAAAAAATTTTAAGAGGCTTAGCTGTTGGAATATCATTTGTCATGTATGGTCGACTAGAAGAAGCTGATCCTTTAATTACCTCATTATTACAAGATAAAGATCCAATATTACGTCGGTCTGCCATGTATACAATATCAATGGCATATTGTGGAACTGGTAGTAATATGGCTATTCGAAAACTACTGCATGTCGCAGTGTCTGATGTCAATGATGATGTACGTCGTGCAGCTGTCACAGGCTTAGGATTTTTGTTATTCAGAACGCCAGAACAATGTCCTCAAGTTGTTAGTTTACTTGCAGAAAGTTATAACCCACATGTTAGATATGGTGCAGCTATGGCTTTAGGTATTGCTTGTGCTGGAACTGGACTCAAAGAAGCTATTAATTTATTAGAACCAATGACCAACGACCCAGTTAATTATGTACGCCAAGGAGCTTTAATCGCATCTGCTATGATTCTTATTCAACAAACAGAAAGTACTTGTCCTAAAGTTAAAGAATTCCGAACACTGTATGCCAAAGTGATTACCGATAAACATGAAGATGTTATGGCTAAGTTTGGAGCTATTCTTGCTCAAGGTATCATTGACGGTGGCGGACGTAATGTTTCGATTTCATTAGAATCTAGAACTGGCCATACTAATATGTTGGCAGTTGTTGGCCTTTTATTATTCACTCAATATTGGTATTGGTTTCCACTAGCTCATTGTTTAGCATTAGCTTTTACCCCTACATGTATCATTGCATTAAATGCACATCTTAAAATGCCTCTTCTTGAATTGAAAAGTAATGCTAAACCATCATTGTTTGCATATCCTGCACCAATGGAAGAAAAGAAACGAGAAGAAAGAGAAAAGGTCACTACTGCTGTTTTAAGTATTGCAGCTAGAGCTAAACGTCGTGAAGGTGGAAGTGGAAGTACGAAAGCTGCTGAACCATCTACTAGTGAAAAAATGGAAATTGATGAAAAAGAAGCATCAACCAGTAAGAAGAAGGATGATAAAAAAGAAGAACAAAAACCTGAACCCAACTTTGAGATACTGAATAATCCGGCTAGAATAATGAAACAACAACTAAAACACTTACAATTAGTAGAAAATTCAGCATATCAACCTTTAAAAGATGTTTCCATTGGTGGTATCATCATGACACGTTTTACTAAAAATGGTGTTGAAGATGAACAGTTGGTTGAACCAGTCGCTGCTTTTGGACCTAAACCAGAAGATGATAAGGAACCCGAAGCACCTGAACCTTTTGAATACACAGATGATTAATAATGTAAAACTTAAATATTATTGTTACATCTTAACAAATCATGTATAATTTTTTTTTACTTAGACTATTTATTCATTCAAGTAAACTTGAATTAATTATAATACTCCATAATTATATAAATATTAAAGTCTAGAATTAATATTTTTGTTACAGTTTTTACTAACTATATATTCAATTGATAATTTGTGTTACTACAAAATAACGTATCAATAACAATCACTACCTATACGAAAATGCTATTTGATATATTTCACAATTTTTTGAACGTACTATATCTTGTATCTTTTTTAAGATTTAAAATATATTTCAATCATGGTCCGAGATGGAAACACCAGAAACCATCTGGGGACATCCAGAATCACAAATAATTACTTCAATGAACCAAGCTATAATAATGATAATCAAATCTAAGTTAACATTTATTTGAAAATGGTCTTTTAAAATAAAAACACTTATACATTTTTCAAGAAATATCTATTCTATTATTTTATTTGTCTTATGTGCATGAATCTAGAAAAATAAAACCCAGGCTTACCAGCTTAGTGGACTAAAGTATTATAACGTTTTTCATTTAACATTTTATAATATATTATTAAACTATTATATTTTTTTATTTTAATTCAAATATTTTAAAATTTAAAATTATTAAGCAAAATACAAATTAAGTTAAATAAATGAGAAATTTTTTCTGTTGGATTTTTTCCAACCAATGCACAAATTTATACTATACCTGAAATTATGTTACATTCATATATTTTGAACTTCGTTCAACCCAAGGTCTGGTATTAACCCAGTTATGCAACTCTGTATTTATAATTAATTTTTATTTACAATGAACTAATTATTATTGTTGTACTATCAACAGAGCTTAAGGTAATGTATTTCTACAACACATTACACAAAGATAACATTCATAACGATTCTTTGACCCATAAATAATTATTATAATTAAAATATTTAGAATGTTTTTAAATTATAATTGTATAGCCATTATTATAAATCATAATACAGAATAATAAGAGAAAAATATTTTTAACTTGATAAGATAAAATTATAATTTTATTTTATTATTTAAATAAAATTTATTATGTTATAAATATTAAATAAGAATAGTAAATATTTATTTAAGGCAACAAAAAAAATTGTGTTCATTCGGTATTAATTATTTAAAAGTATAAATACAAATACAATGAGACGTGTTAAAATTGTACTCACATAATTTGTAACTACAAAAAAAATCATTTATTATATTAAGTAGTAATTTATAGACAAAACAAAATAAAATAGCAATATTGTAATTAATTTTTAATATACAGTTTTGAAAGATACATAATATATAGTTGATAAAATAATACAACTTAATTATATTAAATATTTTAACATTTTAAAAATGGTTAACAATACAATATAACTTACAACACATTGGGTTATAATACTATGATGAAAACACAAATTCCAACTGTACAATTCAATTGATTTATTTAAAATAAAATAATCTAACATATAGTGCTGTTGTTCTCCTATTTTTAGTGCAGATTATAAATTTATTCTTTAGATTATACAGTCAAAAGCATTTATAATGAAATATATTTAAAGTTTGTAAAAGACCACTGAAAATACTATTTAAATGGTAAAATGGAATTTCGAATTAATAGGAAAAATGACAAATACATTTTTGCTAATTAAAGCCACTTTAACCTAACCATTGCAAAAGTAAAATATGTTAAGTCTAAATCACCATAGTTTTCAATTTAAAACTAACAGCCAACAAACAATTTTTGAATTCATTTCATCAATTTAGATAATTCAATGCCCATGGCAGCTGGACTCCTAGTAACGACTACACCGGCCTAAAATTTTTTTATAAATGTTAGAAATTGATAACTAATCAATAATTTAATACTTAATTACCTTTTCTAGTGCATTAATTTTATCTTGAGCTCCACCTTTTCCACCAGATATGATTGCTCCTGCATGACCCATTCTGCGGCCTGGTGGAGCTGTTAGACCAGCAATGAACGATACAACTGGTTTGGCATTAGGACCCTAAACAAATAATATACATATTTTTTTTTTTTGTTAATGCTACTATTAAAATATATTACTCACAGAATTATGTTCTATCAAATATTCAGCGGCCATTTCTTCTTGTAGACCTCCAATCTCACCAATAAGAATAATACCATGTGTATTTGGATCTTTTATAAATACTTCTAAGCAATCTATAAAATCAGTACCATTGAATGGATCACCACCAATTCCAACACATAGTGTTTGTCCAAGACCAACTTGAGATGTTTGATGAACAGCTTCATAAGTAAGTGTACCCGACCGAGAAACTACACCAACAGATCCTTTTAAATGGATATGACCAGGCATAATACCAATTTTACACTAAAAAATTAATAAATTTAAATAATTTATTTAATATAACAAATAAATACTACTATGCTGATAAAATATTTTACATACTTGTTCTGGAGCAATGATTCCAGGACAATTAGGTCCAAGCAATCTAGATTTATTTTGTCTGATTAATTTATGTTTCACTCGTACCATGTCTTGCTGGGGAATTCCTTCAGTAATACAAACAATTAAGGGAACCTCAGCATCTATAGCTTCTGAGATTGCTTTTGCGGCACCTGGTGGTGGCACATAAATAACTGTAGCATCTGCTCCAGTTTCTTCTCTTGCCTATAATAACCAATTAAAAGTAAATAGATTTTTATTGCCAGAAAAAATGTTATTATACCACATACTTCTTTGACAGAGTTGAAAATTGGTAGACCTAAATGAGTTTTTCCACCTTTACCAGGAGATACACCACCAACCATACGAGTACCATACTCTATAGCCTGAGTAGAATGAAACGTTCCTTGTTTACCAGTCATTCCTTGACAAATTACTTTAGTATCTTTTGTGAGCAGTAAATTTTTTCTTGTTTCAGCATAGATGCGTGGGTCAACTGTATTTGATGATGATCGTATGCCCATCAAATTGCATACTATAATATGTATTAAAAAATTATGTTTTTTTTAATTAAATCATAATTTTAAAACGTTAGTACTAATACAAAATTGTATGTTGTGACAAAGTATAATATAATCAGTAAATTACACATAATATAATATGTTACTATTCTAATTTTATTTAATGAAATAAAGCTAAGTGCAGTTTATCAACAAAAAATGAAATATTTATCCTTCACAGTCAATTATTTTATTAAAACCATTAATTTTATCATTGCTGGGTAATTGATAATTTATCAAAAGTAAAATTTGAAATATTTAAGTGGAATGTCTTATGAAATGTATAAGTACCTTCTTTTTATTCACATAGGACATAACTAGAGTATTAAACTAGGAAAATTGTACCGTAAGGTAACAATAGGTACAATAGGTCAAATAAATGGATCAGGAAGTTAGTTTCAGTGTAAATCGTTGTTATAGAACTCCTCTAGATATCGGAATGAAACGCGTCATGCATAATCGAGATTTGAGAGTTGCGTTGGACCCAAATTTTACCTGCGATTCGTGAGAAAATCCTGGTGGAAGCGGCCATTGCGAGTGTCAAAAGTTTTTCGTAGACTTGACCAGTTCGAGAAATATGACGGCAAACAGAAAACTAATCGTTTTCCGTGAAAATGGTCGGCTGCGGGCACTACCAAGTGCAAGTGATAAGAACGCCAGAGGAAAAGGTCGACCGTGGATGGGAGCCTGCTGTTCAATTCAAACATGAGAAAATTGATCTGAAAAAATCTGTCTACTATCACACGTACCGTAACCAGAAAACAGTTGTAAGTTTGTATCTCGGGTGACAAACATAACATATGGTATGGACTAGTGTTGCCAACCGGTGATATTATTGGTGTTACCGCTTCGGCGCATCGCTCGACCAGACGTGACCACCCACCCACAAGACCACTATATAGTATATAGCTTATTTTGCGCATGACATTTGACAACCCGTCCACCAACCATAGAGTTCGACCATAATAATGTATCATGCGCACAACCACCGACTAATACTATTTACAATTCTTGCTCCACTGTTGCTACCTCTTGCTGTGCGCCTGTGCAGTGCGCTTGTCTTTTAGTGCGCGGGGCGGGGAATAACAGTACGACACTAGTCGACTATTCGCCTCCGCCGTAACCCGTTCCTCTCAGTCACCCCCCTATCATCATGTCAGCTTGGCGTATGACGGTGAGGAGAGAAAGAATAGAGTGCTTGAGTAGACTACAGAGCTGCTGCAACCGCGGCGGCGGTAAGTAATTGTTGAATGGTGCTTGTGTGTGTGTGTGTACCTAATACCTCTGAAATAAAGAAAAAGAAAGGAGGAAAATCGTTCTCTCACATCACCGCCAAAACGATACAGTCGAGGTAGCGCACTGCCCGGTGCTCGCTGCGGATACCCGGAGTGTAGAGATTCTAATAATTTTTTTACCTACTCCTATCGTTCGAACGAACGATTATTTTCCTATAATGTCGTCCTTTAAGTCGCCGTCGCTTTCATCGTTTGAAAAAATATGGTCTTGAGCTTACCAATCGCGCACCGACGTGCTGCGTGCCAATACGTTAACCGAGAGACGTTTTACCCGATCCTCTGCATCTGTCGCCGAACTCGAAATAGACGTTCAACTTGACATTGATCACGTACCTAGTGAATAATGTTATTGCCGTTTACGATGTAGTAGAGTTCTTTCGTGCCTGACGATAAAAATTTCCTTCTTTGAATAATCAAAGAAAAGCACCTTTCAACATGATGCGTACCAAACGGCTTGAGTCTGAACAACCCAACATATATGCTCTGCTTCAAGAGGACCCACTGCGAGAATTGTTTGAAGCTTGCAAATCGGGCGACTTGAACAAAGTCAGACGACAAATTAATGCCGAAACTGTCAACGCTAGGGATACGACCGGCAGGAAAAGTACTCCCTTACACTTTGCTGCAGGTAAATCAATTATTCTATTGTTTAATGACGTGTTAGATATAGGTATACAAATTTATTTTTATTTTGATGGATAAGTAGATAAATCATTTTATTATTTTTCTTTCAATTTTTATCTATGAATTATTCATTATCTATACTAAAATTATTGTGATATTAAGTTTATTAGATATTAACTGTTAAATTTTATTACAATATTTTTGTTTCATTTTTCTTTGCTTAATTTAAATCCAAAATAATATTATTTTAATGTATTTTTATGCACTTTTATTATTAGGATTTTTGTTTTAATAACAGTTATTATTTATTGAGAATTCATAATTCCTATACCTTAAATACCTTAAATAAAAATAGGTTTTATAAAAAAAATTGAAATTATAAATCAAAAAATTAAGTTTTAAAATCAATTGTTAAATACTATATTTTATTGTTACAAATAAAAACAATGACTATACTGAACAGCTGATGGAAAGCATTTTTAGAGAGGGAGTTATATAGATTTAACAATAATCATGTTATTAAATCCTATTAAAATATATTAAATTAAAATTTAAAAAAAATTTAAATTAATTTCTTTTTATACTTATTTTATAATTTTTATTCAAACTTATTAATCATTACCTACCTACAATAAACAAGTATCTAAAATTTTATATTCAAATAAAACAAACACGAAAAATAGAAAGTAATTATATAATATAATATGTTGTTGTGTAACAATAAAAGTTAAATAAAGTTTATAAAAATTTTATCATTGGCAGGGTTTGGTCGGCGCGATATAGTTGAACTATTGTTAGCTGCTGGAGCATCTATTCAAGCTCATGATGACGGTGGACTTCATCCATTACATAATGCCTGTTCATTTGGGCATGAGGACGTGGTGGGTTTATTATTAGAAGCTGGAGCTGATCCTAACACTAGAGACAACTGGAATTATACACCTCTTCATGAAGCTGCTGCTAAAGGAAAAATTGAAATATGTATAGGTAAAAATAAATTGGATATTATAAAAATTATCTTTTTATATTATTCCAGTAAAAAAATATCTTTTATAGCTTTATTACAACATGGAGCAGATCCAACAATCCGAAATTCAGAAAATAAATCACCAATTGATTTAGCTAATGTTAGTGGAGTCCCTGGTATCAATGAAGTGTTAGTGGGAGAATGGCGAAAAGATGAAGTATGAAATAAGAATAATTAGATACATTAGGTACATTATGGTAATCAATTATTTTATTCTAAAATTTTTATAGATTCTTGAATGTAGTCGATCTGGTGATGATGCAAAATTATCATCACTATTAACACCTCTTAATGTTAACTGCCATGCAAGTGATGGACGTAAATCCACACCATTGCATTTAGCTGCGGGGTTTAATCGTATTCGGTGTGTTCAATTACTCCTTAGACATGGTTCTGATGTTCATGCAAAAGATAAAGGGTAAAAAAAAATCATGAAAAGTTTTTATTATTGAATTTAATTTTAAATTTATATTCATTAATTTTACTTTTTAATCAAACAAATATATATCATATTTTTTAATTATAGTGGTCTTGTTCCATTGCATAATGCTTGTTCATATGGACACATAGAAGTGACAGAAATGCTTATAAAACACGGTGCTTCTGTTAATGCCATGGACTTATGGCAATTTACTCCTTTACATGAAGCAGCATCTAAATCGCGTGTAGAAGTTTGTTCCTTATTACTAAGCAAAGGCGCCGATCCAACATTATTGAATTGTCATTCTAAGTCAGCTATTGACTTAGCATCCACACGAGAACTACAAGAAAAATTATCATGTAAGGAAAGCAATGACTTTTTTTGAAATATCATTTTTATTTATAAATAAATATTATTATTTTTATGTAGATGAATTTAAAGGTTATTGTTTATTGGAAGCATGTCGCCTAGCTGATGTCTCAAAAGTTAAAAAACTTTTAAGTTCAGATATTGCTAAATTTAAACACCACATAACTGGAGATACAGCTTTTGTAAGTTATGATAATTGTGTTTTATTATATATAATATTTATTTGTTTATTTTTTAGCATATTGTAGCTGCATCATTAGGTTCAAAACGCAAGCAAGTTATTGAACTTTTATCTCGTAAGGGAGCACAAATAAATGAATCTAATAAAGAGCTATTGACCCCTTTACACATAGCTGCAGATTATGGTCATTTTGATGTGATGGAAACATTTATTAGACTTGGTGCTCGAGTTAATGCAACTGATGGACTTGGACAAACAGGTAATTATTAATTACTTATTAGTTAACTTTTTAATTTTTTTTATTATTTAATACCTAAACAATTATAATTCTCAGCTTTACATCGATGTGCAAGAAATGATTGTTTACAAGGCTGTAAAATTCTTTTATCATATAATATTGATACTAGTATTACATCAATACAAGGATTTAAAGCAATTGATATGGCTACTGAAAATATTAAAAAAATATTACAAGGTAATTTACATTGTGTAAACTATAAATTTTAATTTCATTAGTATAATATTTTACATGTTACAGAGCCTCCTGTGGTTTTAGATTTAGAATCTGAACTATTAGAAGGTTCTAAGGCTGGTGAATTAGAAAAAGTTCAGAGACTGTTAACTGCTTATCCTCATATTGTGAACTGTAGAGATTTAGATGGACGGTAATTATACAGTACTTACAATTAAAAATGAAATGTATTGAATTATTAATAATTCGATATTTAACAAAATTTAAAAAATAAAATATGTATTAATTAATATTTTGTATAATAGACATTCCACTCCACTTCACTTTGCTGCTGGATATAACCGTGTAGCAGTTTGTCAGTATCTCCTTTCTCACGGTGCTGATGTTCATGCAAAAGATAAAGGGTATGTATACTTGAATTTTAATTTACATACAATAATAATCCAATTATATTTACTTTAGCGGTCTTGTACCTCTACACAATGCCTGTTCTTATGGCCATTTTGAAGTTACCGAAATGTTAATTCAACATGGTGCCAATGTAAATGTTTCTGATTTATGGAAATTCACTCCACTTCATGAAGCTGCAGCTAAAGGAAAATATGAAATTGTACGATTATTATTACAGGTATCTTTTTTTTATTTTTTTTTTTTTTTTATTTCATTTTTTTAGTATTATTTGAAAAAATTTAGCCTGGAATTATTTTTATTTTATAATTGCTTAAAATAATTTTAGCATGGTGCTGATGATACAAAAAAAAATCGTGATGGACACACTCCTTTAGGATTAGTCAGGGATAATGATAATGAAGTTGCTGATTTGTTAAGAGGTAATGCAGCACTATTGGATGCTGCTAAAAAAGGCATACTAGCACGAGTTCAAAGACTTCTTACTGCAGAAAACATTAACTGTCGAGATACTCAGGGAAGAAATTCTACCCCATTGCATTTAGCTGGTAAAATTATATCATTGCATTTGTTGAAATACTAACCTCAAATTAATTATAATTTATATATATATTTTTTTTTTTTTATTGTTAAGCTGGTTATAATAACTTAGAAGTGGCTGAATTCCTCCTAGAACAAGGGGCAGATGTTAATGCCCAAGATAAAGGAGGTTTAATTCCTCTACACAATGCTTCTTCGTATGGGCACTTAGATCTTGCTGCTCTTTTAATCAAACATAATACTACTGTAAATGCGACTGATAACTGGGGCTTTACCCCACTACATGAAGCCGCTCAAAAAGGACGAACACAACTAAGTGCACTTCTTGTAAGTTTTATTCAAATATGTCTTACAGTATATATTTACATTATT